CAATCTGGTTAAAATATTATTTTATTGTGTTTATAAAATATTTAGCACATATGAAGTGTTACATAAAGAATTCAATAAGATTAACGAGTAAGAATGACTTTTTTAATTTTTGTTATTGACTGAATACTTCATAATTATTTAAACAAATGAAGTGTTCATACACCATACATACTTGAAGTACTTAAGTATCCTGTAGTTATCAGTTTACTATGTATGCTGTTTATAAATGTACCTGACCTTGCTGTCAGTAAGGCTACATCAGTTCTACTAAACTGATAATGTGAGTGAAAAAACATGTTAATCTATGATCCCCTATCAAAATTACATTTAGTGTACTTGAACAAGCCCTAAGAAAATGTGATTTTGTTTTCCAATCTAATTCAGTTAAGATCTTAACAAGAGTCAATGATAACAGAGCCTCTGAATAAAAGAGAGCTTGTTCATTCACAAGCTGAAGCCATAGACTAATGTTAGAGAAGCTACTAGTAAACTGCTTTTACTATTGACATTTGTTGAGGACATTTTCAGTTTTACAATATAAAAAAGTTCTAAAAAAGTTAAGAAGAAACAACAAAATGTTAATCTATCAAAACTGAAAAATCACAATTATTGCAAAACAACACAATTAGGTCAGTTAATTTGTACAATAACAACAGGAGGTAAATCCCAGGATGTTCTGCAGAAAACAGCAACATAATTGAAACAGTACAAAAGTTGTAAATAAAGTTTACCAGTCCAATAATGACTGAAAAAGAAGAAAAACATGATAACAAATCATCTTAAAAAAACATAAAAAAAGGCCCCTAACCATCCTGACTAAGATATTTTGTACTCATTTTCAGCACACCCCATTCACAATGTAGACTACAGGGAACATTGCAAGATTTGCATAAGAAAAATAATACATGAAAAATTCTGTCAGTGGAAATAAAAGAAAGATAATGTGTAAAAGCTGCTTCAAGTACATAAATAAATGGAAGGTAGTGCAAAGTGCCATCACAAAGACGATTCACTCTAGTTTTGGTGTCAAGATAATAAAAAATATTTTACTTTATCTCACTCTCTTTACTTGAATAGAAAACTATTATTTAAAGTTAATCTCTGAAAAGATTAAATTAAGGCTGGGATAATGGTGGTTTTTCTATCATTGATGCATCATTTTCTAAAAGAGATAGTCCAGTTTAACTAGAGAAACTTGTTAAGTTACACACACATTTGAGCTTTGTGTCTACATTAGCATGTATAAAAAAACAATGAACCAGTTACTTTAGTTATTCTTATTGCATAAGTAACACCCATTAACATGCCTGCTATCCACTTTCCTAAGGCACTTCTTGAATACTTGTCTTTAATAATAAAACATATTTATTGTTCTTTTTTGCTGTTGCCGTATTTTGTAGAATCATACTTTGTATGGTAGAACCTGATTATATTGTCACAAATGTTAGTGGTATTCCCAGAGAAGTTAAGTGAACATTCATAGATGACATATTTCTTTTTTTTTCCTGTTCTCTAGTTTAGCAATAGTTTCATAACATTGATTGTTCATAATATCTATAGATAAAGCTCAACTTCTGTAACAATATGCTACATTCCATCAGTATTGGCATTTCAGCTTTGTAGTCTCTTCTTTTTTGTACTCTAGTTTAGAACTCATGATGAAAGAATCTACAGGAATATATGTGCACTCTCTCTCTCCACATGCATGTGGGGATGAAGAGAGTAAGAGCTAAACCGAAGTCAAAAAACCAGTATAACAATTCTATCCTACATATGCTGTAATGCAAGTCCTGTCCAAAAGTGATGGATATAACCTATCTTTCAATACTCATTAAATGTTTTGACACATCTATCCATTAGCCCTATCGCCCGGGGACCCTTTACTGCACATGACACAAGGTTTTAGTGTCTTATATTCAAAATTTTATTAAATTACTTTTTGTTTATGCTATACCAATTAGAATAGCATAACATATTAGCTAATAATCCATATTTTAATAGTAAACATGTTTTAAGTTCATAATTCTACAAGGAAATATATAAAAAAAATCCTGAATTTCCACTAGTGTGACCCAGGTGACACATTTTGTCTTAGCATGTCCTCATCCCTATTTTATCAATCATCCCTCAAAAATGTACAAAATTAAATGTAAAATACTCTCTATAAATTCGTTATTGCTCAAACAAACCATAATTTTTATAACCTTCAATTTTGTTCAGTTACAGAGCTATCAAATAAAAAATCAGACCCCTCTTGCCACACCCACCTGTCACATCCTCTCTTTCA